GGTTTGGGGGGGGGGGGGGGTTGGGCGGCAAGATTGGCAGCCGAACACGGGTCCTGAGCTGCGCAAAAGAGAGCGAGAGTGTGTGTGTGTGTGCGTGCGTGTGTGTGTGTGTGTCTGAGAGTATGAATCTCGTCATCGCGGTCGTACCACTCGTGGTAAGCTCTGAAAGTTGGCAAATCCAGCCGCAGCATGGGTTGTTGCTAAAAACAGTTGTGTGCAGTAGAATAGCTATAAGGGGTGGCCCAACAGCCCAACGGCCAAATGACAGCAATCAAACGTGTGGCGTCCGAACCATTGAGGCCGTCGCGGATCCAGAGCATAAGTAAGGGACGGTTGAGGTAATCCAGGTATGGGCGGCCGGCATAGGCTAGGCCTGGAGCAAGCAGCATTCGGGTTAGATGTCATGTGTGTGGGTTGCTCGCAGTGAGCGGGCCATGGTCGACCAAGCAGTTTAGGTGGGGCCGGACCAAAGTCAGCCGAGCCAGTGAACTGGCTCTGAAACGTGTTATTGCTGGAGTCCAGCGTTCCCACTTCCCACAGCGTTGCACCACGGGATGGTGAGGACCAGATGGAAACCTACGAACGCGCGAGACGGGACTAGTGTGAGGTGGCCCACAAAACCACTCTGGGCGGCGATTTGAGCGCACGGACCGCCATCCCATCGACAATGATGATGCTGGGGCACTCAGCGCGGGGGCCTTCTTTCTCCGTGCCTGCGTTTATATCAGGTGGTCAAAGGGGGGAATTTGTTAGCATGGGTGGGCTGGAAATGGTGAACGGGACGTTTAAAAACATGTTCGGATTTTTGTGCCAGGTGTGGGGGCGGGGTCACCAAACCTGTCCAGAGGGTGCTGAGATAGGAAAAGACAGAGCCATTCGTAGAGGTGTAGATCATGGCGGCCGGGGCACCTAGTGTGTGGGCAAGGGACGGATTTTGGTCATGAGACAAGATGAAGATGCGTGCGCAATGCGTGCGCATGACGGCGGGAGTCGGACCGTATTGCATGGGAATGCCAGTGGAGGCGGCTACGATGATGTTGATCGAGTTGTTGGCTGCGTTGAGTAATGCAACGTCACCGGAAATGTTCAAGCCAGCACTTGGGGGTGGTGGCAGCAACGCGCTGGAACCCAGCTGCGAGGGTGGATGAGAAGCAAGGGTGATCCAAAGAGCTGGAGCATGATTCTGATGAAGGGACTCGGAAGCAAGCACCCACCGTTTGAAAACCCATGGTTGTTTGACTCGTCGCGGCCCGACTACCGGATTGATGTAGGTAAAAGCCGGTGCCTGCGGGTCAGCAGTTTTGTGTGAAAGAGAGAGGTAGAGGAGATGGATGGCACAAAAGGGCTGAATCTGGTCTGAAGACGCACCTGTAAAATGAGAGTTGTTGAGGGTGGCAAAGGGCACAACAAAGCCGGTGCCACCTTGATCAGAGAAAGAGGGGCACACAAACACGCGAGTATACAGAGGGAAATTGTGAGTTGGCGGCGACAGGCATGAAGACGGGGGTCTACTGTGCGCATGACTGGGTTGGGGACTGGGGTACTTGTGAGCAAGATGAGCGCACCGGTATTGTTCATGGCGACGCCGTGAGCAGTCCAGCGAATGCCATCGGGGCTGGTGGCCAGGCAGTAGGCTTGGTGTCCATCCGGGGCCCACGGAGGCAGGGTCGAGGTCGGATTGCAGATGTGGTACATGTAGGTCTGTGATGTGAGGGAGATGGAGGTCAGGGCATCGTAGGACTGCATGGGTTGCCTTGGGGCCGTGAAATTTCCGCAAGCGCAGTCAACGGACCTGATCTTGAATGGTAACGGGCATGGCATCATTAATCCAGCCTGCAGGAGGTCGACGCGAACCATGTATGGATGTTTGTCAAATGTACTTTTTTTTTGACAAGAGGGCGGAGGGGTCGAGGGATCAAGGGCTCTAAAGCCGGGTAGCAAGGGGGTGCGAGCGTGGACCTTGTGGGGGCGTGAAGTGATAGAGGGGTCGGGTTGTTGTTGGGCTTGTCTGGCTCGAGACGCTGATCACCGCCACGGCCAAGATGGCGAGCATGCACGCTCGGATGCTCGGTGGCGGCATCATGTCGCCACATGGACGGCAGGGTGTCAAGGTCGATGGGGATCTAGAACAAGGCCTTGCTCCTGGACACTGCAGTGACGTGAGCACGGGCCGGGGCTGCCAAAAAAAAAAAAACAACAACTCGATGCAGAGGCGAAGAAGACCAAGGTTACTGGGTTGAGGCGATCTCAAGGCAAAGACTCAAGACAGATACTCAAGACAGAGACTCGAGGCAGACCCAAGACAGATACCCAAGACAGAGACTCGAGACAGAGAGTCAAGGCAGACTCCAGCCCAATGCCAAGGCGATCTCAAGGCCCGCTGCTGCTGGAATGAATATGCCCTGACACCTTTGAGATGCGCGCGCGCAGAGAGAGAGAGAGATGTTGTTGTGATCCAAATTGTCTGTCTGTCTGACAAATGGATCTGACAAATGAAAGCGACAGAGAGACAGAGAGACAGACAGAGACAGAGTGAGAGGGATTCGAGAGAGATTTGAGATTCGAGAGAGAGGAGAGAAATTCGAGAGAGATTCGAGAGAGATTCGAGAGAAATTCGAAAGAGAGAGACTCGAGAGAGAGAGATTCGAGAGAGACGAGAGAGAGAGAGAGAGAGAGAGAGAGAGAGAGATTCGAGAGAGACTCGAAAGAGAGAGACTCGAGAGAGATTCGAAAGAGAGAGACTCGAGAGAGAGAGACTCGAGAGAGACTCGAGAGAGAGAGAGATAGAGAGAGAGATTCGAGAGAGAGATTCGAGAGAGAATTCAAGAGAGACTCGAGAGAAGAGATTCGAGAGCGAGAGATTAATCTGACATTTCTTGACTGACATCATCCCTGCTCATTCTTGAAAGGCATCATCATCATCAGCATCAGCAGCAGCAGCAGCAGCAGCAGCAGGAGGAGAGAAACGGCAGCGGGTGCACGTGTGTATAGCACACCTCTCCCATCGACCCATCGCCCATCGCTGGTGGAACCCCGTGGATATTCAAAATCACGTTTGCACCACGAGTGGTACAGGTGGAGCCTGTACGGTGCTCAAGCAGGAGGTGTGCTGGTTCTTGACGCGCGCCATCACACGGCAGCATGGCGGCGCCCAACGAGTTTTACGGTTCGTGATCGACGCGACAAGGGGATGGCCCTTGATCGTTTTTTTTTTCCATCATGCTGACCTGTGCTGCGTCTCATCCCGCCATGATTTGCTTGTCCGACAGAGACGCTCAAGCAGCGACTGGCTGGGGTCAAACACATTGTCCTTGTGCTCTCCGGCAAAGGTACCTACAACGTCTTCGCCCCGCACGCTTGATGGCATCGCTGCTCTCCAAGTCGATGCCCCAATGGGCGCCCGTTTTGGCAGCCATCTCAATCCTTCCTCTCTTCCCTTTGCCTCGGACCCTTCAACTCTTAGGTGGCGTCGGCAAGAGCACCGTCGCCAGCCAGATGGCCATCGGCCTCATTCACCGCGGGCTCAAGGTCAGCCTCAGCTGTGCGCTCGGGCTTGCCCGATGACAAACGAACCAACATGGAAAAAACACGACTGCTACAGCTTTGCCTCGGTTCACCTGTGCACCTGCTCTCCCGCGGTCGTTGCGGCCAGGTCGGCTTGTTGGACATTGACTTGACCGGCCCCAGCATTCCCACCATGTTCGGCGTTGCCGATCAACAAGTTCATACGAGCAGCGAAGGGTACGTGCGCCCAGCAAGCCCTCGCAATCAAGCCCATCAAGCCGCTGATTGAAGCGTTTTTTTTTTTTTGGCCATGTTGGCTGTGGTTGTTCTGTCGAGCTAACCTTATTTTCTTCTCGTCCTGCTTCTGGTCCCCCTCCCCCGCCCCCGGCCCACCTCCTACTTCGTCTTTTAGTTGGGTTCCTTTGTACAAATACGACCAGCGTTTGGCCATCATGTCAATTGGCTTCCTCCTCGACTCTCGGGACGAGGCCGTGATTTGGCGTGGTCCCAAGAAAAATGGTATTGTGCTCTGCTCGAAAATGCCTGTTTGTCTTTCACTTGTCAATGCGTTGCAAAAGCGCGCTTCTTCTCGTCCTTGCGCGTTTCCATCCCCTGTCTCGCTGACGTGGTTTTACATCGTTGACAATGCATAGCCATGATCCAGCAATTTTTGTCCGAGGTGTGCTGGGACGAACTTGACTGTCTGGTAGTTGATACCCCGCCGGGCACCTCTGACGAGCATTTGAGCATTGTGGATGCTCTCAAGCTATGCAAGCCCGACGGTGCCATTTTGGTCACTACCCCGCAGGTGAATCAGCATACACGCAGACTCGGTTCAAGGCTGTGCTCGCTCGTTCCAGCTGACCAAAAGCTCTTGGGCCTGGGATGTAGGGTGTGGCGCTATCGGATGTGCGACGCGAAGCCGAGTTTTGCCGCAAGGCGCGCCTCAAGGTTCTCGGCGTTGTGGAAAACATGTCTGGATTTGCTTGCCCCCACTGCAAGGACTGCACCAACCTGTTCTCCAAGGGTGGCGGCGAAAAGCTGGCACAGGAGATTGCCGCCCCCTTCCTGGGTGCCATCCCCATTGATCCCATGCTCGGGCAAAGCCTTAGTCGGGGCGAGGATTTTCTTGCTTCCTGCCAAGCAGCGCCCAGCTACGAGGCCGTGGCAGCGCTCATCGACCCACTCATGGCGCAGCTGGGCCTAGTTCAGGCGACTGCTGACACCAGCACGCCCTCGCACTGAGTGTTGAGGTGGTCTATGGTTCATGGGCCCTCGTTTTCTCGAGCCGTGTGATTGTGCATCAGGTACAGGGACAAATTCATCCGGGGTTGGGGTTTGGGTTGCTTATAGCCAATTGATTGTATAATCCAGTCTTTTCTTGCATTTCAGCCATGAACGCGCATTAGTTTACTCGCTGTCCTTGCCATGATGCTCTCCGACATTGTGGTTGACAAGTGGTGGGCTCGAGACGTGCGGATGGGACGATGCCGGACAGCTGAAAGCGAGCGAGGCACGTCAAGACACAGCCCCTTCTTTCTGATGCGGGTCCACAATTGGATTGTCTTGATTAGATTGACGTATTGTCAGGGCTCGCGCGTCTGAGCTTGACCGCGGGCATAGGCACGATGATTTCTCCAAAAAAAAAAAAAAAAAAAAACATAAAATTTGGTGTCATATGGTCGGCATTGTCTTTATACAGGATCTACTATTCACTCTGGCCCGGCCGGGCTAATTTGCTAGCCTGTGCTATTCAAGATTTCGGCATGGCGTCGCTCACGATCGACTTGATCGAAGATGCTTTTCCAGGGAGCATAAGTCTTACTGATGGTGTAATGATAGTCGAGGAGGACGGGGTCTGTGCAGCCACGCTCAACATCGTCGGGGCCGTGGAAAATGTGACACCAAATCCCCTCGCCTTTGATGTGATGAATGCCGTAGTGCTGGCCGCTCCAGGTGTTGGCTCCGTGGTAAAGTCGAAAGTAGGCCCAGAAGGGGTTGGACCAGGGCGTGACGCGAAGGCCGGCCCTGCGTACATTTGAAAGGTAGGTTGAGTCTTCCCCTTTGGCCTTGTCGGGATACTTGACGTGGGCGTATTGGGGTGACTTGAAAGCTAGGACACTGCCTTCGATACCACGGTCAACTGCGCGCGGGAACCGGGGGTGAAGCGCGGACCGTGAACTGGGGCCGGGGTCGACAACAACATTAACAAGCAAGGCTACAAGACAATAAAGTAGGCAAAAGCAGATGGTCGACGAGGCTCGAGGGGCTCAAGGGGCTCAAGGGGCTGGGGCGTACGGGTATAGATGTAACTGCTATTCAAGAGCACGAAGAAGCGAGTCTGCTTGGATACGATGCTCACATCGGCATCCTTTTTGTACAAGTCGGCGAGCTGCATGCTAAGGTATGACGGAGCGTGCCAATCTGCGCGAGGAGGAAAGCCCATTGGGGGTGGGGCGATAAGCGGCTGTGCAGTCAAGCTGGAGGAGAGGGTGGGGGTGAGAGCGCGAGGGCCAACCAAGGCGCACCGTCATCATCCCATTGGACCAGAAAGGTGCCCACGGGCACGGCGTTGATGGCAATGTTGCGCAGCTTGCCGAGGCTGTACTTTTTTGGCTCGACAAAGATTTCCACGACGCAGGGGATGTCGTAGTGGGTGATGCTGTAGTCGGGGGAGTCGTTGACGACAATGAGAACCTTGCGAGCAAAGTCTTGAGCGGCAAAGGCCGAGGCGGATTTTTCGGCCAGAAACTCGTGGAGTCGATCCTTGCCCGTGATCATGGTGCCAAAGATGATGCGGTCTTCCTCGGCCTGAGGTTTTTTGCGGTCGTGGACGGCGGGGGGCTGGGCCAGTTGAATCTGCACCTTGGGCAGGTGACCGTCGCTGAATTCGGTTTTCACGTCAAAGGCGACATTGGGGCAAGCGGTGGTAGCAACCCGGTTTGCCTCGTTGACGACTCGCGAGCCAGTACTGCTGCTGGGGGTCAGGGGCACCGCTTCAATGGCTGTTTGTTCCAGCACCGTAACTCCGAGCAGAAGCATGATCAAAAGCCAACTCGCGGTCAAGTTTCCCCTGCCGCTCCATCGCTGCCGTTCCACTGCAACCGCCACTCTCATCATGCGTGTGTGTGTGTGTGTGTGTGTGTGTGTGTGTGTGTGTGTGTGTGTGTGTGTGTGTGTGTGTGTGTGTGTGTGTGTGTGTGTGTGTGTATCTGAGTGTGTGTGTACGGCCACGGGGCGAGAAATGGAGCAGCCAGCTCTCAAGCTCAGCTGGCTGGGCGTGAAGCCTGCTTCGCCCTGTGCCCTGCGCCCTTTGCCCTTTGCCCTTTGACAAGTTCCACCCATCTGCCGAGCGCGACGATTCGAATCTGATCGTGGCCCCTTACCAGAAGGGGAAACCTTTTGTCATCTTTACAATAACCTGCATAATATCTTCAATAAGTATGTGAGAATGTGTATATAATGACGTGTGTTTATGCCGATAATCTGCATTAAGTGCTGTTGTAACTTCTTAAACCGTGTCAGTAACCAAACGTAAGGAAAAAGAGAGCAGATCTTCTCGGAGCCACACATGACGCATCATACTCTCACACTTATCCCATTCTACATGCTTGATGCTTACCACACCCACACACACCCATCTCTTCGAACCCCAAAGCCCAAACTGACCCATACTTCTTCAAAAAAATTCACCCCATCCGTCGTCATGCGGTCCAATCCAACGGTAAGGTGTAAGATTCATGTTAGCTTGGTAGTGTTTTTTTTGAGGGAGGAGGCGCGGCTGTGTGTCGCATTTGACTCGGCGCCGGTCCCTCGGCGCAGGCGCGTCGGGTCAAATACGGTTTCCAGTCACGCCTTGGTTGCCATGATGCAGGTGGAGCCAGTCCTAGTGTATGATAGCAAATACGACGTGATGTTATGCTCAATGAAGATCATAAGATTCAAAAAGAAGAAGAAGAAGAACGTCAATTACTTGGACGGTTGAAGGCACCGGTCCCACTCGAAGCAGGACGACACACAGTTAACAAGCCCTGCTGCACTATTCAACGGCACACACCGCTGCCACCATCACGCCCACCTACATGCACGCAAAATGTATCGCATAATCAAAAAAAAAAAACTGAAACACCTAGTCGCGACTTGGGTGCTCAAGACTACTGGCTAAAAAAACGAAGTCTCGAAACAGCAAAACCTCACAACCTCTCCCACTGCTGTCTAACTAACCTGACTCCTGCAGCATGCCACGCGGAAGCGAGGAGAGGAGCAAAGATCCCTCCCAATACAAGAAGAAAAAGCTGAAAAGAAAATCGGATAATCCACACAAGAAACAACAACACCAACAGTCAAACATCAAAGACCACTCTCCTGACCTGAGAGGGACTTGGGAAAAAAAAAAGCGGAGGAAGAATATCACCAGTACATCACGCCACAAGGTCAGCGTTGCCGTGTCCCTTTTCTAGGCAGCACGGCGCAAACTTGGGGAAAGCTGGATGCGCTCAGCTCACGCAAAAACAACAACACCGACCAAAGTTGTTCCTTTTCGGAAAGGCAAAAGGCCAAACAGCAAAGTGCGTTCAAGAGCGCATGGATGGTGGTGGCAAAGACGAGTCCACGTTGCCATGCCTACCACGATTGGGTCGCAAATGGCGGACGCCAGCCAGCCATGGCCTCGGGATACCAGCGACTCATCATCGCCATGTGCGGCATCATGTTCATGGCCCCCGGTGGCATTTGAAAGGCCCCCATGGGCATGCCGGCAAAGGATTGAGGCATGGTCATGCCTGGTGGGAATCCAGGCATGGACATGGTAGATGTCTGTGGTGCCAACGACGGGTTGCCAGACCCCCTTGATGATGCTGGCGGTGGTGTTGCGGTGCCGTCACGGCGCTTGCCATCAACCCCAGGTAGGTTGGGCGAGGCGCCCGAAGAGTTGCGGTCCTTGGATGTGTCCTTGACGCCCACGGTGCCGGCCGGTACCGCGTCACTGCCCTTGGTCTGCGAACGAGTGCCTTCGTTGCTCTGAAGTCGCTTGGCTGGCGGCTTGGTGCTTCGTTTCGATGTTAAGGGCTTGTTTGGACGGCTTGATCCTGGGTGCTCACCAGCATCCCTCTCGCGTTCACAGTCACTGCCGTCACTTCCATCACTCTGATCATGCCGTCCCTGTGTCAAATGCGCCTTGAGCTTGCGCGCCCGCTTCTTGGCCAGGTGGGCCGATGGGGTTTGTGCGTCTTGCTGTTGGGCGGCGGGTCGCTTCTTATGCTGGCGGTTATCCTCGTCTTCCTCATCCTCCTCGTTATCCTCGTTATCCTCGTCCAAAGATGAGAGTCGGGATTCACGTTCGGCCGCACCATCCACGTCCTCACCCTGACTCTCCTCGCCTTCGTCCTCGGAATCCTGGTGTTGTCGCTTTGCCACATTGCGACTCTCACTCTCATTCTGATTCTGATTCTCCATTGCAGTCTCGGACACATTCGAGGTGCCTGCTACCGCGCTTGCCGGACGATCAGAGGACTTGTTCGGCTTTGGAACTGGCTGGGTGGGGATGGATGCGCCTGGGAAAAGAGCAGCAGGAGGCAAGTAGTTGCGGTTCAACTTGATGGCTTGTGGCATGATCCCCATGCATGCCAACCGCCACAGCAGTTGCTGGCAGTCTTCATGACACAACCGAAGTTCATTCTGGAGAGCTGCCACCATCTGTTGCAGGTCCGACAGCGATGCACCCGCCACGTTGCGTGACAGAAGCAGAGCCGCAGCTTGAGCCGCGTCAAAGTCTGCACCCACACTCTGCGTAGTATGTTGCAAGCGCGATGGTTCAATCAGATTGTGACGGCAGCGATAGAAAGCAAGGGCCAGAAGGCTGACCGTGCCAGAAGGGTTTAAAGGTGACAAAAAAGCAGGATGGGGGCAGTGAGCAACGAGCAGCTTGGCTCAAAAAAACCAACCTCTGGGCGTCGACCACCATGAAGGGACTGTTGTTGCTGTTGTTGCTGCTGTTGCTGCTGAAAATGCATCTGTTGTTGTTGTTGCTGCTGCTGCTGCTGCTGCTGCTGCTGTAGTTGTAGCTGTTGTACGGTCAAGTTTTGGCTCGGGGAGGCATACGAATCAAAGCTGGCATCTCCGTTCGTGTCAGAGAGTTGGCGACGCCGGTTGCGTCGGGCATAAAACGAATTTTGGCGACGACGGCGCAGTTGCTTAATCTGGATGCGCTGCTCTTCGGTCCACCGGTCCTGGGCAAGAAAGCGTCGAAACTCGGCACGCTCAGCAGCCAAGATCTCTTCTGTCACCCCCTCCGGCAAGGGCTCTCGGCTGCGCAAGCCCAGCAAGCGAGCCTCCACGCCATCTTCACCGACGGCTAAGTAAGAAGCAGGGTGGGGGAAGTAAGAGGGCTGTGGTTGGCAGGGGCGAAGTGTATGTTTGGACAGGGGCGGGACATGGTGTAGCAAACCAAGACGACGGCAAGGGGAGAGGAAGCGGGATGAACCGACCGGATCCGTCGCGGTGCTGGGGTGAGACGCTGTTGGACATGGCACTGTGTGACCAGAGGGGCGAGCACCCTGGCCGTAAGCTGCAGTTGCCTGTCTGCCTGCATGACAAGGATAGCAAGGGTACAACATGATTGAGGGCTGGTGCAACGCAAGCTATGGAGATTGAAAATGAAGAGAGTGTGCTGGTGGGCGAACGACCGTGGACATTCTCATTCTCATTCACATTCATATGAAAGCGCCAAAGCAGATGCAACGTAGTGGCAACAGCGGAACACCAGAGCAGGATCTGTTGTGATGTTGTCGGTGTTTAAACGGGGGGCACAGGTGATTAAAGCAGGGCTTGGGGGCGGCTGAGAGACCTCTCAACATGATGTGCAGAGCAAGTGCGAGTGTGCGAGTGTGCAATTGCGTGTTGGGCTGGGAAAGAGGAGGAAAGGACCCAAGCAACGTGGGGCACGGAGATGTATACGTGCGGAATGCATATGTGTCTGTTCACGAAAAGCACCCCCCTTCAGAGGCGACGGGAGAAAAGAAGCTTAGGGGGGCGGTTGGGCTGCTGACTGCGAAAGGCCGTCATCGCATGGTACGTACCCAGGAAAGCATCCACAGAGCAAGCCTGGTCAGGCGGATATGAGTGTGATGGAGTGGGGTTTGGGGCCGATCTCACTTTCGTCACGTTTGGGGCTCCCAAGGACATTTGCACAGCGCTCAGCGCCAAAGTCAAGTCCGATTCTTGTGCGAGGCCTGTGCCACAGGCAGATGGGCAAGGGGAGGTCTGATGACGTGGAAGCGCGGGAGCGTTCTGTCTCGTTTGGGTCAACGGCATTGGGTAAGCTCTCGTTCTGGGGGCCAAAAGAGCAGAAGCAA